TTGAAAACACTAATGCTAAGTCAAAGAAGACAGATGTATATATTGTATAATTCCTTTTATAGGAAATGTTCAGAAGAGGCAAATCCACAGAAACAGAAAGTAGATTACTGACTGCTAGTGGTGGGGGAAGGGGAAATGAGGAGTGACTACTAATGGGATTCTTTTTAGGGTAATGAAAATGTTCTAGAATTAGATAGTGGGCATTAGTTACATAACTCTGTGAATATCCTAAAAATCCATTGGATTATACCCTTTAAATAGGTACTTGTATGGTACGTGCATTATATTTCAATCAAGTTGATTTAAAAATGGACCATCGACCTAAATACAAGAGCTAAAACTATAAAACCACTACAAGAAAATAGAGGAAATACTTATTTGATTCAGATTGGGCAAAGAGGTCTTTGATACAACACGAAAAACATAATCCATAAAAGAAAAAAAACACTGATAAATTGGGTTTCTTTGAAAATGAAAATGTTTCTGCTTCAAAAGACAATAGTAAGAAGATGAAAAGACAAACCATCGTCTGAAAGAAAATGTTTACAAATCACATAAAGAATTTGTATTCAGCCTGGCCGGCGTGGCTTAGTGGTTCAGCATCAACCTATGAACCAGGAGGTCACAGTTCGATTCCCTGTCAGGGCACATTCCTGGATTTCAGGCTTGGTCCCCAGTGAGGGGCATGCAGGAGGCAGCTGGTCAATGATTCTCTCTCATCATTGATGTTTCTCTCTCTCTCTCCCTCTTCCTTCCTCTCTCTCAAACCAATTAAGAAAAAACGTATTTTAAAAAATAATTTTTAAAAATCTTTTTTTTTTTTTTAATATATCTTTATTGATTTCAGAGAGAGGAAAGGAGAGGGAGAGAGAGAGATAGAAACATCAATGATGAGAGAGTCATTGATCGGCTGCAGCCCACAACCCGGGCATGTGCCCTGACCGGGAATCGAACCCTAATCGCCTGGATCCTAAACCATTGAGCCACGCCCAGCCGGGCTAAAAAATCTCAAAAAAAAACAAAAACAAGTAACAACCCTTGGTATGGATCTTTGTTCTAAGTAGCTTAATAAGGTAAATTCCAAAAAAAAAAAAAGATCCTGCCGCCTTAAGGGGAGTTCTGGTGCCAGCTCTTAAGATAAAATGCTCTTTATTCCATCTCCTTCCAGAAGAAAAGGTTATTCATTGAGTTTCAGGCAAAGATTGGGTGTCCAGATGGAATGATAGGGCAGGTGGTTAAAGATCGGGAGTGAAACTCCAAGGAAAGATGAAGACAAAGCTTTGGAAGTCAAGTGCAAGAAAGGAGAAGCCAACATGTACTAATTGCCCACGGGGTCTAGCCAGCTGCATAGGTGTTCATCCCAACAATAAGGCTTTTTTGAAAGCGTGTTTTTGTGTGTGTTTTTAATCTCTGTTTTACAAATAAAGAAACCAAAGCTCAAAAATGTTAAATAATTTGTTCTAGGTCACCCTGCTGGGAGACAGTAACATCAGCATCAGACCCAGCTCTGTCCTAAGTCAAGGCCTTTGCTTTGATTCTATGAGGGAGGGAGAAAGGGAGGGGG